CCTAGCATGGGCTAAGGAGAATAAACCCTAGATTTCCTTGAATTATGCTTCTGTTTAGTTTGTTTCTTGTTGATTTTACTATTCCCTCAACTTTTCTACATCAAATTGGTATCAGAGCTTGTGATCTATATGGAAAGTACTGTAGCATTGTATGTAGTTTCTGTAGTACTATACAAAGTTACTATAACATTGATTTTTTGGTACCCTAGGTCAACAACAAAACGGGGAAGCTATAGTGGGGGTCTAGGATTTGTTAAGGTTTTCCCAAAACAACGTAGATCTTGATGATTTTAGTTGTTTTTTGTTGACTATTTACCTAGGGCTTGTGATTTAACCCATGGCAACGATAAGGGGCTGTAGAAGGGGGATCTTTGTGTGTGCACTCCATTTTCCCCTAGATGACATAATCGAGAAACGTGAAAGGCAACTAGTGCAGTAGTATGTCAGCATCCAGAATGGGAAAAATGGTGAGTTTTCCGCTCAATCTCGAGTACAAGAATTTTCACTTTTGCGCTCTACGTGTGGAGTTGAGTGAGGAGGATAGAGACCGGAGGCCTAGACGTGGGGTGCATCACATTAGGATTTTCTATTTGAAGGACGAGATTTTTTATTTTGACATAGATTACATAGAAAATCAGCAAGGTATACATCGTGATTCACCACCAATCTTTGATATAGATTCAGTCGAACAGAAAGATCTCTTAGGAGATCTGGCCTACGTAAGGATCAAGATGGTGAAGAATATGGAAAGAAGGTTGCAGAAGGACTGAGCCAAATCATGGCCTTTGAAGATCTCATTAATAATGAAGAGATAGAGATATCAATAAATTTAGGGCATTGGAACCAGAGTAGCAAAGAGGAAGTGCCGTTGACTCATTCGTAAATTATGGCCCTGATTTTAAAAAGTGAAGAAATAGATGTCAACAAAACCTCTAAAGACCAAAAATTTAGGTTTGTAGTTTCCTACATGATGTTTAATAAGAGTTTAAGGATAGACATATCCGATAAATTTGCAATGACTCTTCAATATAAATATCAAGTTCCATTTCTTGAGAAATTACTTTTATTACAAATAGTTTTTAAACCAACAAAGAAGAAAAATGTTGCACAAGGCATTTTATCACATTTTAAAACTCGAGGACACATTTTCTGTAACTAGAGGAGAATGATGGAGGGAAAAATTATACTTATTTTTAAATAAAATCGAATTTTAGAGATGATTATTTTGATTTTAGTTTTAGGATTTATTTTTAGGAATTTAAATCTTTTTTGGGATTCTAGGGTTTCTTGTATTTTCTTTATTTATTATTCACATGTACTATTAATGGCACTATTTGCATTTACTACTCACCCATTATTGTTATGGTATTGTTCAAGTGGTATTTTTCACAAGGGTATTTTTTAAAGTTTAATGTTATTTTGGGGTGTTTTACAGTCCTAATTATTTAATTTGGTGTCAAGTTAATTTATGGTTTCATAAACTTATAAAAGGGTGGATGACACATTTTGGGAGATATATATTCTGGGAATGAATTTTATTTTGTACAATAAAAAATTTTAGCAGTTAGTGTTGCAGTTCGCACGCTTCAATAATGGGCGAGACGATGATCTTTCAGCCCATGCGGATCTCGAGTACATGCCTTTCACTTTAGCACTCTATGTAGGGAGTCGAGTGATGAGGATAAATACGAAAGACCAAGAAGTAGAGAGCACAACTCTAGGGTTTTCAATTTGGATGATGAGATTACTGCTTTCGACGCAAATTGTAAAAAATCAACAGGATGTAGATTGGGATCTATAACCAATTTTCGATGCTACTTATTTGAAGAACATGTTTTAGTAGTGTGCAAATTCAATCAGGTTACATGCTTGAAGTTAAGTAATTTCAACAAATTGATGTGATTTACAAATATTCTACTGACTAAAATGACCCTTTCCTCGAGGGTTTCCTAGTTCTAATGCACAATTAATGTATTTTGATTAGTACACCAACCCAAAAGTCCTAGAATCATGTTTGCAATATGTTAGTTGAGGAATGTTGCCGGACTAGCATCAATGTCGTCTTAGCACACTTCAAATGAGTAGGCCATTTACTATTCAAGGATGGCAAGCTACACCAGTTTCAAGTAATAGTAAACAACTGATAACTTAATCAAAAAATGGACAAACTTGTCATGCTCATATCTCACGATCTGCAAGATGGATGGAGCTCAAATTCAGATATGTTGGGCACCTCGACGAGCACAAACTTTTGAAATATACCACAGTCGAGAACCACGACTGTAGTGACAGAAGTCCTAGAGAGAATGTCGCATGAAAAAGGCTTTATGTAGAAAGCTTGTGTGTGCAACCTATCCTCGCTTCGACGATCGCAATGTGACATCCGGAGGTCAGCTCAAGAAAAAACAATGGGTGCATTTTGATTGTAGCTCAATAAACTTCGTTTTGAGATGAGAACCATCATGATTGGGGTTCAAGAAGATGCATGTCTAGAGCTTGCATGTTGGGCACGAATTTAAGGTGTCAAAAAACTAGTTTTCCAGCGACTTCCCGGAATGCTAAAAGGGCCAATCCTTGGTCATTTTGCATGGTTTTTAGAGGGAACGACCGTTACGGCATCCCCTTTGATTTACCAGCAAAAAAACACAATAAATTCTCTATATTTTTTTTAAATCTAGCGAATAAGGAAAATCAAGTTTGCACGAAAACTGGAAAATAAGAAGTTTTGAGAAATCCTTAATCATGTCATTCTTTCTCTCTCAATCAAGATATTTCCCAAATATTTAATCCCTTATCTAAAAGAGTTGTTCAACAAATTAAAGCCATCAAGAGAGAGAGAGGGTATAACACTTATGTGGGACACATTTGGGCCGTATGTCCAATCAAGGCATGCTTCTCCGTGGTGACTACCATCTCATATGGGCCACCGCACCCTCAAATAAATTTTTAAAAAACATGACACGATCTTTTAAATCCAATATTAAAATGGATTTGCATTCATGAAGTCCTGAAAAATCAGTTTAACCGATCGAAAAAATTATTTTCGATTTAAAAAGTTCATTTTTGACGTTTTATAGTTCAAATAAAATATACTTAAATAAAATTTAATAGGAATTGGATCCAACGGGTCAAGGGCTAATACATTGAGGCAGTCCATCTATACTTGCAATCTTGAACTATAGTCATCCTCTTAATCTCACTCGATGACACCCATGACCAACAAACCCTCATAGGGTTTCATATTTTTTCCATCAAAGTTAACCAATAAATGAGGAGAACACAATTTTAGTCCATGGATTACATGTTCTCGCTAAGGACAAGGCTATGACCCATAGAACTTTTACACATTATCGCAATGGTGCAGGGGGTCATCTCTTTCACAGAGAACAAGCAGCCATGGAACTACTGATACAACACTTTGAGCCTCATTTGAAAAATTGGAGAACAAGCTACCATAAAAAAGGGTGGTATATTTTTTCCTATTTCATGAGGTGTTTGACCTCATTGTATCTTTCCAGTGGTTTGTAAATGATTGTAATTGGTCACTGTTTAATTAATGGTAATCATGTGGTTCGTAAATGATTGTAATTGGTCGTTGTTGAATTAATGATAATCTTTTGTGAATGAAATTTTCTAGTTTATGGTATTATTCAGTTTTTGGAATTTTTTTTTTTTGTGAGACACATATACACAGAGAGACATAGATAGATAGATAGATAGATAGAGAGAGAGAGAGAGAGAGAGAGAGAGAGAGATCTGGTCATCAGCTACAATAGAAACACACATAATT